GGGATAGCACGAGCTTTGTGCACACGAATCTCCACGGAACTTCAATGCTGCCATTCAGTGAGGGTAAACTCCATTTCTGTGCTTTTGTGTTCTCATTTATATTAGAAATGCTAATCAAAAAGTTTGAAGCAAAAGACACATACAGAGAATTCAGAATGTACAGGCAGCAAAGGCATTTCTCTGAGGCTGGAAATGAATTCTTCAGTATTTTCCCTTTCTTACTTTGAATCCAATATATATTTTACCCAACCACTAGAATTGTAAAACTGGGGCTTCATGAGACAAGACCTGTAGCATTTTCATGGAATCACAGAATCATAGAATCAAACAGTTTGGAAAAGACCTCTGAGATCATCAAGTCCAACCCTTTTGTTCCTAAACAAGGGGTAGCTGCAAAGACAGGGTAAAATTAAAGAAGGTAAGAAATCAGTATCCAAAATTTGCACTTCAGGATAATCAGCTTTTCAGAGATAGCTTGTTTTCCACAGTGAAGAACAGTTTTTTTTAATTCCAACCCTTCAGCAACATTAACATGCTTGTTGCAGATCCATACCATGTCGTACTTCGACAGCAAAATGCCGCATCCATCACATAGAATATCAGCAACTGTCCAGTCATCTTGAGTATGAATAAAATGCACAATCCACCAGTTCTGTGTCAGTTCAGCTGCTTTCTAAAGCTGCTACGCACACCTCAAAACATGAGTACAGACTGCTTGTTTCATTATGGTACTTACTGGACATACAGGATGAACCAATATGGCACTTGTGAAAAAAGGCCAGGAGAGCTGGGAGGGACACGATGCAGAGACCCCGCGGTACCACGCACGTGCTCAGAATCATGTGGAGCCACTTGTAGAGATGGGCATGTGCATGTGTTCATGTCTGTGCACATGCACAAACCCTGCTGGAGGTGGAGGAGGGTGAGGGGAGCTGGTGGGTTATCCCTGCTTCCTCCTGCGTGTGTTAATCCTGAAGGCTGTAGTGCGTGTTGGTGGATGTGTGTGTACATTTTACTTCCCTTTGTTTTGTTTGGTACTGTTAATCCCCTGGGGCGTATCTCTGAGCTGAAGAACTTTAGAGCTGATATAGCTTTTTAAAGTGGGGATTATGTAAATGCATATTATGGGGCTTTCATAAATAGGGATTATTTGTCAAATACATTTGAGGGCTTCCTTTGGAGCCATTAAGGTCTGTTGTGTAAACAGGAATTTAGTAACTGCCTAATCTAAATTTCATTGATTCAATAAAAGATCAGAACAGCATTTTTTGATTCATTTTGGTCTTGTGAGAGGATTTTTCTGCACAATTTTCAAATAATTACAGGACTGTATATGACTAAAGCTAATCATAGTTAGCATACCTTGCACATCTGTATTAACTGTTCTCCATGATTCATTCTCTAGTTCTCTTCTCTAGTTTTATGGTTAAATTCACTGCTGTCCCAGCCACTAACTTGTTAACTGTCACTCACTAAATTAAGAATTCTGCAAGTTTAGATGAGCAAAGCAAAAATAAGATTTTGCCAAAAGGTATAGCCATCCAAAAAGTTGTAAAAATTTATTATCTCTGCTCTAGTCCTAGACGAAGGACATTTAGACAAAATGCTAAAAATTCTGGAAAGTGCTACCTCTCCTCAGGGCAGTTTCACACTGAAAGGCAGAGTCTACTCTGAGAAGAATTGAATCTTGGCCTCCTTTCAGCTGACAGGTAATGCTGGTGTCTCTCCTTGCTGCAGAAATGGTGCAGACCTCCTGATCCAATGTTTGACCCAGTTGTTTCAACTGGTGTCTGGGACAGGCCTGGACACGAGCAGGAGCCGGTTCACTCAGTGTAGGAGACCCAGATGTGATGCAGTTTCTCCGTGACTGGATGTCCTGACATGGCATAGTCCAGAGTCACAGACCATCCCCAAGGAACAGCAACTCCTGTTCCCTGTTCCCTGCTCAGGGAACAGCAGCAGCACAGCACTGCACTGCCAGCAGCCCCCTCACAGCGGCTCAGGCTCCGCTCCCCCCCATGCCAAGCCTCCTCCTTATTCCAGTCCTCCTGCCAGCCTCAGATCCAGCTGCATTAGGCAGGTTTTGATGCTGTCACAGTCACACAGAGAATGAATCATATTGAACATTGCCCATGGGGTTGTTTATTCCTTGAAGAGGGAATGGACTGCATGCCAATATCCCCGGTAAGGCATAATGAAGGAACCAGCTTTTGCTAGGAAACCGGGATGCCCTCCCACAGGGATTTGCTGGATGACACAGCTCTGAAAAAGCTATGTAAAAATAAGAATACATATAATAAAAAAAAAGGAAAGACACTTTCAATATACTGTAATCCTGGCAGGGTGTTTCAAGCTGCACAACTCTTCAGTTCCAGACCTCAGTGGAGACAGGGACACCAGGAACACAAATATGCATGTCCAGCTTGTGAAGTTAGTGCTTATATGGGCATCTTAATCCTTCCTGTCTTCTTCACTTAGTGTCAGCCCCCTCCTTTGCTTTTACCTCCTTCACGTTGTTTAATAAAAGAGAGAACTTTGCCACCCGGCTCTCACTTCTGGAGTTGGGAGTTGCTGAGGAAGGTGTTAAATAGAAATGTCTCGTCTTCCTCTGCTGTTTGCTGTTCCCAGTCTTTAAATTCTACTTTTATTAAGCAGAACAAGCCCAGAGCACAATCTATACAAAATGCCTTGGTTTACAAAGATCATTTGCTCAAGTATAAACCACACTACTGTGTAAATGGTCTGTGATGGGGACCTCAGTTATCACACACAATGTGTTTTCTCCATTGGCGACTTCTAAAATACATAAAACAGATGAAAGCTTGAAACACAATCCAGTCTTCAGTCTTTGCAAATTATTCATTCTGTTAATGATTTACTGATTTACACATAGCTTATTTTGCATAAAGTTCGAGCTGGACACATTTATTCATTGTGACTCCCTTAAAATGGATATAAATATCAAAAGCAATTGGCTACCAAATATTTGAATATTATAGCACTGCATCATGGAGAGTTGACATGAATGACTCTAGGTCGGAAAAAATATACAGAAAATGCTTAGCCAAGTATGATATTTTACAGCATGTCACTGAATCATCTGAAAGGGTTATATTCATTACAAACACATGCAGTGTGTGCAAAGGATTGCCCAGGAAAAAAATAAAGATAACATTATTCTCCTAATGAAATATGCTCCCTGATCTATGGAACTCACCTCTCCTGCAAAGTCCACCCTCTTTCTAGGGCTGTATACCTGAAAAGAGACACTGGGTTCAGTGAAAGGAACCAATTACACATCATTCCACAGCCAAAAATGCACATGTTCAATCCTAAACTTGTCCCCAAGGACAGTGCAAAGTCCAGTGCAAAGTCCAGCCTGCCAGCAGCAAGGTATATGGCTCTTGTGGCTGGTCTTTCTGTGATTCAGCAACACAAGGCCCAGCAGCTCCCCAGGCCCCTGATGGGATGCCAAGCCTTCACCGTGGACCGGCACTGATCCTGCAGCTGATCCGGTTTGGTCCTTGGTTGCTGAAGGGCAGGAGTGGTTCCTGCTGGGCTGGGTGTTGCCACCCACCCACTGCAAGCCTGGAGGAGGAGACGGAGTTTTCCAGCCCTGTGTGATCCCACCCGACCAGCCGCTCCAGGAGCTGGGTGAACCAGGAGAGGGGTCGGTGTGCACCAAATCAGTGATCACAGGGTGGGTGTAGGCAGTGCCTTCGCCCCACAGCACCAGGGGCACCACAGCCCACAGGGCCGTGGTTGCACCAGCACCAGGAGGGTAGTGCAGGCAGAGGTAGGCCCCGTGCTGCACACAAGCTAGTGTGGGGTGTTGCAGCATCCTGCTTTGTCCCCCCAAGCCCAGAAGCCAACACTGGCTCTTCTGTCTGCTCTCCCCATGGTCCCAGAGTGTAGGGCTGGAGTGTCCCAAGTCCAAACTAGTCCTTTGGCGCACCGAAAGGACAAAGTGCCTCCAACATGGAGGGAAGGGATGTGGCACACCTTCTCACGAAAAACCTTTCAGGAGGCTGCTGTTACTGTCCTTAACGCTGCTGAGCCACCCTGCCCAGGCGGCGAGAGCGGAGGGCATCTAACATTGACATGTTAGACTCGTACGCATATTGATCTGATGGTTCATTGTTCACCCAAGCCCTTGGCAAAGGTCACTGTCTCTGCTCCCATTTTACAAATGGAGCACAGAGAGGAAGATTAATTTTTAGAAGTGATTAATGTTCCTGGTGCCCACCCTGATTCACTTTGGGCTTCAAGACCCAGACGAAGTCTGGAGCTGGCTTAATTAAGGCATCCCTTGCCTCTCTCCCAGCACTGCCAGACACGTCTGTTGCTTGTTGTCATTGTCTTTTCCCATTAATTCCTCCACCCTTTATCCTATGCCAACTCCCAAACCGGCTCAGAGACTTGCCTCTGAGGCGGCATCCAAGACCCACATTCCCGTGATGCCCAAACAGTCTCAAACCCTCGTTTCTTGGTCCTTGGTGCTCTATCCTAAGAAGGGTTTGAAGGAGCTCCCACATTCCCAGGGTCTAAGTTTACCAGAAGGCTCAATCAGGGCTTTTAATGTCCCAAGTTGTTCTTGATTACTACTGCGTCGAGTGGCTAAGCGCCAGCGGCCGCCCCGCACATCGGCTGCGGAAGGGCCACGTCCCCCCCTCCCCGCACCCCCCCGGCGAGGGTCCCGCGATCCCCCCGGCGAGGCGCTCGCGCGCGGCCCACGCGGCCGCTCGGACATGAATGAAACCGCCCTCAGCCAATCGGCGGCCGCCTGCGCGCCGCGGGGCTGCCACGCCGAGCGCCCCGCCGGCCGATGCGCCGGCCAATGGCGGCGCGGAGCGCGGGGCGCGCCCAAATGGCGACCGCGGCGCGGGCCACCCGCGGCGGCAGGCGGGCCAATGTGGGCGGCGGGGCGGGGCCGGCGCGCGGCGCCCCGCGCGGCGTCGCGGCTCTAAAGCGCGGCGGTAAAGCCGGCGCGGCGCACCGCTATGGCCGCCGCGTCGCAGTATCTGCCGCGCTTGCCGCCGCGCTCATCGCACCCGACAGCGACCGCCTGCACCAGGGCACACACGTACCGCGAGGTGCAGAAGATGATGCACCACGAAGTACCTGCCAGGGGCTGCCCCGCCGGCCGGCACGCCGTCGGGCTGGCGCACCACCAGTGGGGGGGGGGCTGCCCAGCGCCGGCACGGACTGGGGCAGCGGGGGGGCGGCGGGGGCCGCGCACCCCCGCCCGCCGAGCACGCCAAGGGCGGCCCGCCAGGCCGCGAAGAGCTGTCCGCCGACCGCCTTCCCACCCCCGCCCGCATCTGGTGCCCAGCCGCGGCGGGCGCGCGGCGGGCGGAGTGGGCGCAAGGGCGGCGCGCACCAACCTGCCGCCCATGTCCCGCCGTCGTGGCAGCCGCTGCTCTAACGTCGCAGCCCACGCGGGCCTCAACGGATGGCTGGGCCGCGGCCGGCTCCCGGCTGCACCACGGGCTGCGCGACCCGCTGGGCGCCGAGGAGCGGGCGGCACGAACTGGCGGCAATCGCCGCCGCCGCTGGGTCCGCCCGAGCCGTCGGACGAGGACGCGGATGCCCAGCTCCGACGACCTGGAGCAGTTCGCCAAGCAGTTCAAGCAGCGGCGGATCAAGCTGGGCTTCACGCAGGCCGACGTGGGGCTGGCGCTGGGCACCCTGTACGGGAACGTCTTCTCGCAGACCACGATCTGCCGGTTCGAGGCGCTGCAGCTGAGCTTCAAGAACATGTGCAAGCTGAAGCCGCTGCTCAACAAGTGGCTGGAGGAGACGGACTCCAGCACGGGCAGCCCCACCAACCTGGACAAGATCGCGGCGCAGGGTCGGAAGCGCAAGAAGCGGACGTCCATCGAGGTGGGCGTCAAGGGCGCCCTGGAGAACCACTTCCTCAAGTGCCCCAAGCCCTCGGCGCACGAGATCACCTCCCTGGCGGACTCCCTCCAGCTGGAGAAAGAGGTGGTGCGGGTCTGGTTCTGCAACCGGCGGCAGAAGGAGAAGCGGATGACGCCGGCCGGGGTCCCGCACCCCCCGATGGAGGACGTTTACGCACAGGCGGACACGTCGCCGCTACACCACGCGGCTGCGCGGCGCGTGCAGTTGACTGCCCGGGCCCCCCGCGGCCCGACGCGGCTCGGCGGGCGGCGGAGGACGCGCTTAATTATTCTCAGACTGCCGGCCGTCCGGTCCGCGCCCCGCGCTCTATTTATTTCATCCCGCCGGAGCCGCCGCGGCCGCCGCAGCAGTAGCCAAAGGTTTGCGATCTCTAATTTATTCCCCTCCTCGCGCGGCCGGGGGGACGCTTCGACACCATTTCCCGGCCCGTCTCTATTTATTTCTAACCGTGCGCGGAGCTCGCACCCTCCCGTTGGTGGGTTCGGTCCGGTCCCATCCCCTTGGGTTTCGGTTTTTGTTTGTATCTCTATTGCAAAACCAATGTAGACTGCGAGGGTACGTTTCTATTTATGTTATAGTAAATATTTTATTACTTACATAAACATTTACCCAGGAAACCGTCTCTTGTCGTCTTTGCAGGCTTGCGCGCCGGCCGGGAGCGGGGCGCCGTCGGGCCGGGCCGGTGGCGTTTGCCTTCGCGGGCCCCACCCCGAGCCCCCCGTGCCCGCCCAGCGGAGCCCCGTTTCCCGAGGCCCCCGGTGTCCCCGGTGCCCCGGTTCGCACCAGCGGCGCTCGGCGGGGTTTGCCCGCCCGGTAACGCGCTTTGCGGAGCCGCTGCCCTGCGGGGATGCGCTCGTGCCCTGCACTGTCCGCGCACCTTCCGCGGTGTTTTAGTGATCCGAAGGGAACTCTCCGCAGTTTGAGCAGAAAAGAGCCCGCACGTAACTTTCCTCCCGCGTGTCACAGAGGTAATACATGCACACCGGTGTTTGCTAGGTAGATTCCACTCAAACCACACTCTCCGGTTGTCTGATGTCACCAACTTTCCCTTTCGTGGTTTCATGCCCGAATATTTTGCCGTTATGCCAAGAAAGGCTGAAAATTTAGTTTTTTCATTCTGAGTTCCTGGAAGAATGATCCTGCATCTCTACTTTAAACCTTCTCTTGCAGCATCAAGAAAAGTCGCATGTGGGGATTGTGTTTACCTTTGCAGGTTCCTGGATTCCTGCGGCGTTTTGTCTGTTGGGAGAACTTTTGAAATATGGGCCCATACAGCGCTCTTGCACTGATGAAATACTTCACCGAAATCTGGTAGTAAAGGACCTAATTCTTTCTTTTAGTTGGCAGAGGATTTTCCAGTGTTCTCAGACACCTGGCACTTGATAGTTTCCCCACTTAAATCAGTACAAAATATGTGCTGTGAAAACAGCAGCTTTAAAAGGGATTTTCTAGCAAAAGCGGTGCATCCTGAATAGCAATTCGTGTATACTTTTTTAATAGATATAAAAATTTATAACATCTCAAATGTAACTTACGCTTAAAAATTTATACTTAAAAATTCTTGTCTTCAGTGTGGTTTGATTTTGTTGCATTTTGTGCCTTGGGTGAGGGGTGAATACTACTTGTCTAAGCAATGATGCATTTGCCATTGATAATGTTATAACTTACTGCATTCTCAATGTCTCTTAAAATGTAGGTATTCTACATCAGCTAATATAGGACTTCTCATTCAAAATTACAGTAAACTGATTTTTGAGATTTTAAAATAAAGTCACTTTGAGCAGTTATTTCATCAAGTACTCTGTAAAGAAATGTTTCACTTTATGGTACAAACAAGCTAGCAAATGCTGCAGGTTAGGATATTAATAACTTTTCGTGGCATGCAGAGCATAATAAGAAATCTCTTAGAGGATTCAGTGTGTAGTGTGTTTTGTTAGCTTTTGTTACAGACTTAGCTTCCTTTTTTGTAATGAGACTGGTTTTTATAGAGGAGCACAGAATTTTGGGGCTGTTGTAGAGATCCTGAATTCAAAAAGTTTTGCTGTTTTTACCGAATATTTACTAATTTCCAAATAGCTGAGCAGATGTAGTAGCTTAGATGATACATTCCAGTAAAAAGGTAAAGAGGATGATGATTCAAGGGTTTGAGACAATGTATCATGATGACATTTAAATTAATTTCCGACTGAAAAATCTGTCTTTAGCTGTTCTCTTGTGTGTTCCCCACACATGTACTATTGTTTTTAGTGTTTGGTCATGCTGTAACTGCAGCCTTTGCTTAAGAATTTCTGTGTGACAGCCAGGCTTTAAGGGAAGAAGAAACAAAATCATAAATTAACAACAGAGGGTTTTTTTGTTTGCTTGTTTCTTAAAGAAAACAAACTCTTGTTTGCATTGAATGGTGAATTGTGCTGCTTTTCTATACTAGGAGTCATTCCAGTAGCCTCTTCATTCTGAACTAACCTAAATGGCAAACAGGATTTATATCGATACTCAGAAGGGAAGGGTCAGTTTTCACATTGTGTTCTCCTAATGGATGAGATGTGCTGTGAGTGCTGGGGAGGGCGAGCACCCTTGGGTTGTTCGGTGTGTCAGATTGTATAAGGCACTGGCAGCCCCACTGCATTAGCTCTTTCGTGCTGTTGAGCAGCAAAAATAAAATACTCTGTATATCTCATTTTTGCAGTGCCGCAGTGCTCAGCCGTTCTAAAAATCAAATGCCCCAAAGGTTTGCCTCTCTTAGAATAACTTGTTAGTTTTCCTGGTCAGGGATTAAATAGCAATTACTGGAGGGAGACTTTTTTTCCCCGCTGGTTGTTTCTCACTAAGGTGAAAGCGTGAGCTTATACTACTATTTCAGTACTAAAGCACAGGGAAGGTAGGACCGTGGTGTTGGTACATTAAAGAAAAGCAGATGTACAAATGCTTACTTAACAATGCTCAAACAAAATGAATAGTAAATATAGAAAATAGGAAGTGTAGATAAGGAACAGGTGTTAAGCACATCGCTACTGTGAGAGGGGTTTAGGTCTGTGCTGATGGGAAATCCTTGCACTAATCCAGGAGCACTCTGCTGCTGAGCAGTGCCTGGCCCCAGCAGATGCTCTTCAGAGCAGCTCTTGCATTCAGGTTGTGCTTAGTCCCATGGTGGCACTGAGCTTTACCCATTGGGCTCGGGGCAGGTGCTCCATCAGCAGGGCCTGGGGTGACCTGCTTGCCTTGCCCACAGTCCAGAGGAGCTGGTGCCTGGCTGCTGACCCGGAGTCCACATCTCAGGCTGGTGAAGAGAGCTGAGGTGATGAGCAAAAGGTCTCTGGCCAGGTGGGGCGGTTGGTACCAAGCAAACGCATCCCTGGTGTGGGCTTAGCCCTTCTGGGCTCACAGAAGGGCATAAGCCGTGTTGTGCTACCCTTGCCTGGGCAGAGAGCCTGCCCGTGTGCTCCAGGTGTGTGGGAGGGCAGCTGTGCTTCCCAAATACTGTCATCTTATAAATTGGTTATCAACAATTTTAAGACACTGCTGTTTTCTGTATAGCAGACAATATTCAGCAGAGTACCACTTTTTCCCTTTTATTTTTAAAAATGTGGACGGTTGCTGCTCAGCTTTCTTACGTGCTTAGGAAAAGATTGTGGTGTTCCAGTATCCAACTTCTTTCCAGATTTCTTCTCTTAGACTATTATTGCTGCCACTTGCAAGGGCGAGGAGTGCTTGCTGTATAACTGCTGAGGTGACTACAGCACAGCAGTTTGCCTGATGAGGCACAGTCACTCGTAATTAGTGATGCCGTGTTCATCTTACACTTTCCACTGAATTTGGTCTCTTCTGCCTGCTTCCCAGCCGGAGCCTGATCCCATCACAGTGCCATGATGTGACTGTCCCCTAATGAGCTAAAGCAGCAACTGAAATGCTGTGATCTCTTTACGTGAAAATTCGGAGCATCAGTATTAACACCATGGACTCTTGTTCCCAATTCTTCCCACCCCTGCATGCTCTGTCTCCCAGAAGGAGAGATTTCAGCACTGTCTGGTTAAGCAAATCTTTTAATTCTGTGCTAATGTTGTTTCATATATTTTACTTTTATGCTGATTCTACCACTGGTCCCTTGGAGCTGGATCAGCCGCAAGACAGCTCAGAGCTGCCATTTCACAGGTACTGGAAGCAGGTTTGGATCCTGCCCCAGGGCAGAAGTCCACAACTCTGGAAGTGCTCCTCCTTAGCTGCCTTGTATTTTTCTTACAGTTGAGTTGTTTGAAATGAGCACGTCCTGGCTGGTGACTCGGAGCTGGTGCTTGTGTGTGCTGAGGACGGGCGCGTGGCTCCTGTGGGCTCCTGCCCTGTGTCCGCTGGGAGCAGACCAGCCCCAGGCAGGGGCAGGAGCAAGCTGAGGTGAGGTGGGAGGTGTTCTGGTTTTAAAATGCTATTAAATATCCATAGATGACAGTGTCTGGTCTCACTAAGATTGATATTGCTGCTCTGGGAGACCTGGCCCAACGTACTTTCCTGAAATGGGAAGCTCCAAAGAACAGATTTTCTTCAGGTGTACGCCGGCAAGATGTCAGCTCTGAGCAGCAGCATCCCTGTTTTATGTGCATGTGCCTATAGAGGAAACGCACAGAGAAGTAACCTGTTAAAGTCTCTGATGTGAACCCCCACTGTGCATTGCTGAGCTGATTTATGGGTGTTCAGCTTCGCTCCCACTTGTGATTTGTTATGAGTGTAGGTGTGCATGTGTGCACACACAGCTCTTGCATGGGCACAGCACTAGAGATATGGCCAATTGCACTGCCTTAGTGTTCTCCCGTGTTCTTCAAGGAAGCTCTGCCCCTGGAAGTTCCCCTGTTTTCAGTTTGAACTAACAAGACCCAGTGTCCATGCCGTGCATGGGGATTACAAGGTTGCAGAGGCAGCAGTGTTAAAGCCTATGATGCTATACACCAGATCTAATGTGCATGTTAAATCCGACCTCGTGAATATTTCACGTTCCTTGATATCACATTATTTTTGGTGTTGGGCAGATCAAGTGTTATTTCTTGTAAGCCTTGCAAAGGTGTTCTGGTTATATGGGTACCCTGGCTCATACGCTGCTGAGAGTACTTGCTGCAAAGAAGAATGCTGTTCATGTCAAACTTTAAAAACATTTCTTTATTTTCCTCTTTCCCACCTTTCTTCTGGAGCATTCTACCTGATCAAGGCGTCTGTGCAGCACCACCAGCACCCAGGCCCTGTTTCCTCCTGGACATTGGCTTCTCTCCGCAGGGGCAATCTGCTTTTTATCGCTCTGCCAGATTCTCTAGGGCCAAAATGTTCAGCAGTCACTGCAGCCACAGAACAGTATTTCCTCCAGAATGTGTCCAAGCTGGCTCTTCTGTCAGCGTGTTTAAGGAAGGGGGATGGCTCACTGAAGCCGCTCGGCTCTCTCTCAGGAGCTGCACTCCAAACAGCTGCATCCTTCAAAGTAAATGAATGAACAAGTGCACAAAAATCTTCTTGTAAATGTCACATATATGTACAAGAGTTGCCAGGTCCTCCATGGAAATGCCTGCTCTGCACTGGAGGATCAGTAGAAGGTATGAGAGAGCCAATGGACAAATAGGCATCTTTTCATTTCACTGTCGTTTGTCGGGTTTGTTTGGGATTTTCAATTCTGTGGAAATTTGTCTTGTGCTTTTCATTACCAGGAGCTCACTGTGTAGTAGTACCTCTCACTCACACTAAAGGCTGTGCAACTTTGAGATTATACTGAATCATAAATTTGTAGCCAGACAAAATGCTGGGAAACTAATTTACACATTTGCAGGACTGGTTCTAAAGAGTCAG